TCAAACTCCTGGACTCAAGCAGTCCTTCTGCCTTGGCCTCCCAAAGTGCTGGGATTATAAGCCTGAGGCACTGCATACCTGGCCTGAAGCAATATTTTTATAGTAGACTATCTAACCTTTCCCTAGCTGTGGGGGTTAAAGTTTTTATGTTTCCTACTTGATTCGTTTTTGAAAAATAAATATTTTGTTGGAGTAACTAAGCATGGTAATTCACTAGTTAATAATCAGCTTTACAAAATGTAAGATAATATGTGATTAACATTAAGTTTATGTAGAGTACAAATGTTATTCAAAAAATGAAAATTAGGAAAATAAAAATAAAGATGTGGACACAACAGATACCTCTTTCCCCTGATGTAAATGAACATCCTATCTAGCCCTGGTTCTTCTTCAGACTTAAATAGTGCTATGTCTGAATTTTCTTACTCAAAGGAAAAGCTTTGTAGCATGAACCTTAGTGTTCTTTAGAGTTTGAGGACAGCTTTTCTTAAAAAACCATTACAAGCAGTGTCAAGCCTTGTTTATTTATCCAGCAAGAGAGTTTTATCTAGAAAGCAAATTGTTTTTAAAGTTTCTCATCCCTCTCTAGATTCAATCAGAAAAAATATAAAAATCTCACGGCACTGTAGTGTAACAATTTATATAGAAAACTCATTTTTGTCATTCTGTGATTAGAAGGATGTTTCACAGCAAGCTTTAATAACTGACTCTAACCTTCTACTCCACCCTCAATCTACAAATAATCAATTTCTCAATTAGATTCGAGTTTGATTTTTCAACAGAGTCTTTAGATACTCTCCCAAAACATAGCATCTTGAAACACATTTAAGTCCAAATGAATGCAGTTTCACCAGGGGTGTGAAGTGATTCTTTCACTCCGGTCACAAATGACTTATGGATGGTTAGCACTGCCATCGTGCAGGCTGGCTTTGATTTGTATACGCCTGTGAATTGTCTCCATGGAGAAAATGTACAGAGGTAGCATTTCACTTTTATGTTTTTCATCAAACAGCTTCCCAGTGACACAGGGAAAGGCATGAAAGTTGTTAGGAAAAACATTCTCTATTACCAAGAGGTTGTTTCTTCAGAAGTCAGAGGCCTGTGTGCTCTGTGAAGGGAATCCTTAATTAAACCTGTGCTGGAGTGTTCCTTTCAGATAATCAGAGTCTTTACAAAGCCACCTCTGCCTCATGCAAACAAAATGGTCTACAGGTAGCTGCTGATGAGTTATTTTGTCACAGAATTCAAGAAACTTTGATTCTGTAACATATGCTTCTATGTACCAGTATGAAATATGGAGTGTCTGAGACATTCTCCACCAAAGAAAGCAATGAGTACTCACACTGGTGTTAGGTGGTCTGTGGGGTCCAGAAGATCTAACTAGGGTCTCTTTCAGTGCCCAAGGTCCTACGATCAAAAGTTCAATTCTTTGATTTGAGGTTTTGTATTTTCAGCCTTTGCCAGTATAAACTAAACCCTGATTGGATCAAATTTTAAGTCATATTAATGATACTTCTTTTAAGAGATATTCATTTATCAATTATTTTTATGTCTCAAGAGCTCCTTGGGAGAGAATGGAAAACCACACCAAATGCCAGATTTTGCTAGTAGACAGGCAAAATGACAAACCTAAAATACTCTTACCTCAGGGACTCCAGGAAACTGAGAGGAAAGATAAGAGGGTTGAGTGTTTCAAAAAGGCAGATATTGAAACTTGGCACAGTGGCTCATGCCTGTCATCCTGGCACTTTGGGAGGTCAAGACAGGAAAATTGCTTGAGCCCAGGGGTTGGAGACCAGCCTAGGCAACATAGCGAGACCCTCATCTCTACAAACAAATCAAAAAATTAGCTGAGCATGGTGGCACACACCCGTAGTCCCAGCTACTTGGGAGGCCGAGGCCGAAGGATTGCTGGGCTCAAGAGGTTGAGGCTGCAGTGAGCCATGAATGTGTCACTGCCCTCCAGCCTGGATGACAGAGTAAGAATCTGACTCAAAAAAGGCGGGGGGAAGTAGAGTGGATACTGAAAACAAAGATTGTGGAGCTAATTTTGAGACCTGTTTGACAGTTTTGTTTAGCTACAATATGATGAAAATAGTGAAAAGTTATGTTGACCTCAAGATCTTAGTCTCTTTTCCTCTGTGATTCTTGGGTAGATTCTTTGATGTGTGGTATTGAAATCCTATGGGTGGATTCTGCCCTTTTCATTTTAATAGATTCATTCAATCTTCTTGCAAAAACCGTTTGGTATGCATCTTCTAAACAAGCACCAAAGTCATGGTATACCATGAGAATGTGGGGAAAACACTCAAAAAAGGAATATTCCCTTCTGAAGATGTCTTCTCGCAGTACTGGGAGTTTCTCCCATGCTTTGGCAAGATGTTGAAAGTCAATGGATTTCACTTTCAATGCAGCTCCCCATTTGCGTTGATTTAAAGGTCTCACAGTCTGAGCTCTTTATGGAGTGTGTAGGTTTTCTTACAGGTCTCTTAGGAATTACTAAGAGATAACTCAACTGTATACTTCGTTGCTGTAATTGAAGGTTTTTCATTGCTATAATTTCTTCTAATGTTACATTTTAGTCAAGTAGTCTTTCCCACTGGAGGCATTAATTATTGTCAGTTTTGAATAGACCTTTGCTTGGTGTGTACATTTTTGCTTCTGGTGCCAAATCATGTCACCGCTTCCTAGTCCTTGTCTAAGTCAAAGGATTTTTTGCCTTTTTTAAATTAATGTTCAGCGTGCACCATACCTCTTTTAAACACTGTAGCATAAAGTACCTTTGTCCACCAGTCAGAAAGTCAGCATTCTTCATGGTTTCATGTATTTCACTAATTTGCAGTACTTGTCTCAGGTAAAGGATTTAAATTTAATTTTATTTTCTATTAGCTGTGAAATTATTGGTCACTGGAGTTTATGAGAGCAAATCCCCTTGCTAAGGATTTACCCATGGTTTATAGCATATCATTTTTAAAAAGGTTATTATCCATTGACAAGGACTTCATTGAAATACAAAATTGAAAGGGAAGATATTGCTCCAAATATAGCAGAGTGTTCTAGAAAATAGTCTCTTGTTTGAAGTTAAGTAAATTTTTTTGTTATTCAGTATTGGTAACTATTTCAGATTTTAGACCATTAAATGAATACTTTACGTCTTAATCCATTAGGCTGCTCTAACAAGATACCATAAGCCAGGTGACTTATAAATAACAGAAACTTATTTCTCACAGTTCTGAAAGTTAGAAAGTCGAACATCAAGGCAACAGCAGATTCACCTTCTCAATGTGTCCTCACGTGGTAGAAAGGGTAGGATAGCTCTCTGAGGCCTCTTTTTAAAATTTTTATTTTATTTTGTTTTTTTGAGTTGTGGGGAACATGTGAGGATTTACATAAGTAAATTGCATGCAGGTGAGGTTTGGGCTTCTAGTGAGCCCTCTCTCCCTCGATAGTGGACCCATTGTGTGGTTGTGTGCCCCTTATTCCCTCCTCCATCCTTCTCTCCTCTAGCAGTGCCCGGCATCTGTTGTTCCTACCTCTGTGCTTATATGTCCAGTGATCAGAGCCACTTATGAGTGAGAGCATGTGGTAGTCCCACCCTGAGCACGCCCAGTCTCGTCTAGGGCCTCTGGTATAAGAGCACCAATCACATTAATGAGTGTTCAGCACTTATGACCTAATCACCTCCAAAGGCTCCACCCCTCAATACCATCACCTTGGGGATTAGGATTTCAACATACGAATTTTAGGGAACAAAAATATCTAGATCATAGCACTCTATCAGTATCAAACTTCATAATCTTACACACACACACACACACACACACACACACATCTATTTCCAAAGAGGAAAGACTACTAAATTACTGTTATACAAAAATCTGTGTATTCTAGGAAAGATCAGGAGATAAAGTTTGTCACCCTCCAGCTAGTTTCTACAAAGTATCCACAGTGACACTATCTCTGTTGTAGGCACAGAAAAAAGAGCATTAAGCAAGACTGATGAATTCACAACTCCCATAGAACCTAAGTTCTAGAAGTTGATCCAGACTTCACTTCCAATTTAAATATACTTTGTTCTTCCTTCTATGATGATTTCCTAAAGGGTCTTACATTCTCCATCCAATAAAAACAAGTTCTCCAAGATTAGTTCATAATTTGTATTTTAATGCTTGGAAGTATGTGATTTATTCTGAAGTTATCTGCTTCTGAAAGTAGTGCAAGTCCATTTCATTATACAAAAATGAAATACGCCAAAATTTATTATTATTTTACTGAATATAAATCAGGAAATAGATTCAATATACATTACCTAAGGACTGACACTTCAAGCCCTTAGCCATGTGTTTCAGTAAATGTATTTTCTTGTTCATTTAGTGCTACATTTTGAATCATTGCCTCTGCCCCAAATGGCTGTCGATGTCTCTCCCTTTGGCCTAGATGAACCCATTTCTTTCCAAGGGCAAGAGTTTCTACAAAATAATAGAAAACCTTGGTCTGATCTACACAAAACACTTGCTCATTATCATACTGTATAAGACTCAGAAACCAAATCAATGGAAGGAATTCAGTACAGTTTTTTTTCTATATTACTTTGTTTTATTACAATACAAATAAAAACAATAACTCTCCATATTTTTATGAATATTTTGCTATCTACTTTAACAATCTCAAACATTTTATTGATGCCAGCCTACTGATGTATACATATTTGATTTATACATAATTGCATGACTTTTAAGGAGTTTTAAGTTGATGATTTGAGGCAAGAAAAAAAACGTATCTCCAACTATACAATGAAGATATAAAATATTGGCTTGATTATAAAGAAATCCACATTGTAAGTAAATTTTAATAATGTTGGTAACAAAAGTTAATTTTTAATGTTGTTCAATAATCATTAAAACTTGCCAGAGTGACCCAAAGAGTATCAGTGAGTTCTCCATTCTGCTGTGGGGCTTCTCTCTGACATAAATGTCGTTCTGTGTGTGTTATTCTCTCAGGAGGTCGAGTTGTGTCGTGTTAGCAGTCAAGAGAAGTTGGGCCTGACAGTCTGTTACCGAACAGATGATGAAGAAGACACTGGCATATATGTCAGCGAAGTAAGAAATGCTGTGGAGGGGTGGGAGGGATGGAGGGAAACGACTCACACGGACACAATCCTTTTTTTCTGAGGCTTGAATGTGAAGAATTGGCCATGTTCCAATACTTGTCACTTTCAATTAGGAAAGTAAATTATGCTGCCCAAGTAATGTAATCATTATCAGCTTGTTTAATGTGGATGCTTTCACACCCAGAATCCCAGCAAGGAAAAGTGCAAAATTGGTAACATTGTCTAACTTTGAATACATTTCCCATAAGAATGTAAGGAGTCCAGCGAAGTTTTTGATCCACAATCATTTGTCCTTCCACTCCACTGTGTCTTTTATGAGTTCTGTTAACAATAACATTGGCTAATTATTTTTAATTACTATTCACAATAATCACATCTTTTACTCTGCTGATGGGATAGATACATTTGAATACCCAAGGAGTGCATCTTTTCATTTTATTTATTCAACCTCATAAGTGACTACTAAAATATGAGACATCGTTCATGTGAATTACTTTGGAAGACTGTGAAGCAAAACTTATTACTATAGGTGGTTTTTTAAAATTTCCCTCAGTATGGTTTTATGAGAAGTAGGATGATGTTTAAAAATTATATATACATATCATTGAAAGTTACACATGTACTTACAAACATATACATACAAATACATATGTATATATATATGTGTGTGTGTGTGTGTATGCAGAAGTTAGACAAACTAGATACTAATTGCTGTTCTATGCGGTCCCACTTTTCTTGGCCTAATCTTGAAAACATTACCTAACATGGTGGGCTTAAGCTTTCTCCACTAGAAACTCAGTATACTGCTTATCCTGTTGTTTTTACAGAGTTGCTCAGAACATGGAAGAGCTAATGTAAATAATACATTTAGAAAACTACATAGCTCTGTAAATGTAAAATGTTATTCTTTATCACTTTACCAAAGAATTTACTGGCTGGCTCCTGCAATGGAAAAATCTCCAGAGACTATTTGATTTATATGCTTCTTTTAAATGCATAGCTAGGGATAATCCATCTGATTAAGGTGGGGAAATATAAGGAGACACCTGTTGAATTAGCTTTTGTAACATGTACAGAGGTAGAAAGGTAGAAGTTAATATCAGTTTGATTACAGTTTTAAAGACAAAGCTTTAGATTGTGAATGGCTTTTAAATGGAGCACAATTGATTAATTATCCCTCACTTCCTACTAGTAAGTCTTTATTTACTATTTAAATATGTCTGATTTAGAACTTCACTTTTCAGGGAAGGTAAAGAAGCCACAGGATCTGAACATATGTACTTGGAAGGAATGTTATCCTTATATCTTTTTAATGTAATTATAATGTCTTTTGTTCTTGATTGATCACTTAAAACTCAGATATTAGGTGGCAACCCTAATAAGAAAGCAATGTCTAATATCCGGATAGGATGGATCAACCTCGTGCTGCACTTTAAATAATTTGCTTGAAAAAAAGCTTTGATACAGTAAGTCTAAATAAATAGTTTGACGCCATCACATGACATCTGATAGATGAAATTACCCCTAGTGAACTGTAAGTCATCACTCAAGTTTGACCCATTAAAATGCTGATAAACTCATAAAAGAGCTTTAAATATTTATTCATCCTAAAATAATTTATAGTTAATACACTTTACCCTGTATGTAAAGTGGTGCTGAGTAATTAAGTGCATGGATAAGATTTTGTGTGTGTGTATCTTGAGTAATATAGATTGCAAGTCTTTTTATAAATTAATGTGCTTAAGAGACAGAAATCCTTTTAATAAGCATGGACTTACAGTATAGCTATCAGCTTTTCTAAGACAGCTAAGGCAGGATTTAAAAATCACCTCAGTGGAAAGTAAATTTCGTAGGTCCAGAGAATCCTAGTATTAACTTTATCTCATGTCAGCTGAAGACCATGTCTAACAACTGGGATACAGAAAGGAGTGAATGAATGAACATAAAGAAAAGAAGGAAGAGAAAAAGGAAGGAAGGAATGGAGGACGGGGGAGGAGGGTGGAAAATGGTCTTCAGATTACATTCTGCTAATAATAGTTCTCTTTACTATTATTGTTGTTGATTCTAAAATAGTTCATTACATTTTAGAATCAGTAATTTTTAATATAGAAAAATATGGCATGCACTGTCATAAGTCAATTGAAAATGTTTAATCAGGTTTTTAACAATTCTTGAGGGGATATTGCATACCTTGTTGAAGATGTGTGTCCTCTTCATTACAGGTAGATCCAAATAGCATCGCTGCCAAAGATGGCCGAATTCGAGAAGGGGATCGTATTTTGCAAGTATGTTGTATGGTTATTTCCTTCAGTTCCCATTGTCTAACAGTTTTTATTTTATATTGTTTCTTATAAAATTTTAGAGAAAATAAGTTGTCTTTGCTTTTGGATATTAACATCTACAAAAAAGCTGTCATTTAAAACTATTTAAGGATGGTACTATTTATTAAGAGTTATTAGCTAATAATTAGCAGTTTAGATCTCTGGAGTCAGACTCCTTGGCTGCAACTTCCAGGTTCACCATTTGCTTGGGCATATCACTTAACTTCTTCTCATCTTAAGCTCTGTTTCATCATCTTAAAAATGGTATTAAGAACCTAATATGGTGAAGATTAAATGAGATTACTTATGTAATATGCTTAGCAAAGTGCATGATATGTGATAAATGCTTAATGAACATTAATAGCAGCCGGGTTCGGTGGCTCAGCCTGTAATCCCACACCTTTGGGAAGCTGAGGTGAGTGGATTGCCTGAGCCCACGGGTTCAAGACCCACCTGCGCAGCGAGACCTCATCTCTACAATAAAATCAAAAAATCAGCCGGGCGTGGTAGCACATGCCTGTAATTCCGGCTACTTGGAAGGCTGAGGCGGAAGGATCACCAGAGCCCAGCAGGTCGAGGCTGTGGTGGCCAGGAGTGGCCACTGTACTCCAGTCCGGGCAACAGAGTGAGACTCCAACTCAAAAAAATAATAAATAAATAAATAAATAAACATTAATGGCTATTATTACTAACAGCAGCAGTTCTTGCTGCCTTTTCCAGAATGAATTAGGCAAACATAGATCTATATTTATTTTATGAGAGTCTGGAAGTTTGAAGAAGTTTCAACTATAGTCATGTGTCGCTTAACATGTTCTAAGAAATGCCTCATTAGGTGATTTCATCATTGTGCAGTCCTAGTGTGTGCTTACACAAACCTGGATAGTGTAGCCTACTACATACCTAGGTTATATGGCTTAACCTATTGCTCCTAGGCTACAAAACTATACAGTATGCTACTGTACTGCATAGTGTAGGCAACAGTGGCACAGCAGTGAGAATTTGTGTATCAAAACATAACTAAACATAGAAAAGGTACAGAAAACAGTATTACAATCTTGTGGGACCACAGTCATATATAGGGTCAACTGAAAGGTGTTGTGCAGTGTGTTTCTGTATTTACGAGTTGTTGGAGCCAGGTGAAAGAGAATGCATTTTGTTCTCCACATGGAAATGTGAAAGCATAAAGGCTGAATAATTTCAGTTTAATAAGAAAGATGGTAAGCAGATCATAGGAGGGATGCAAGAAAAAAAGTTTCAGGTCAAATCAGGAATAAAGAAAGGTCTAGACCTACCTCGACCTGCTCTGTTCTTCTGAATCCTCTCCCATAAAAAATGGCTGCAGGGTGGCATACAAGTTTCCCAGCTCTTGTGCCCAGATTAACCCCCAAACATGAAAAGAGGCTTTTCGAGTGGCATTTCACTGCTGATCACAACTGGTGAAACAGAGAGGAAGATTTGAATGATGAATGGATGGAGACACAAGCTGTTAAAATGTTCCACAAAGCTCTTAGTCAGTTTGACAGGGCTAGAGATCCCATTCTTTCTTGCTAGAGATGGACCCTGGAGAGTGTTGCTTTGGATTTCACACTCTGGGATTCAACACTCTGCCTAGAACCAGGACTTTAAAAATAGACAAGATGCTGTGCCAGCATTCAGGACACTCCATCCCAGTGTAATTAGGAAGGCAACAGCACACACAGATGATCACAGTACAATGGGACATCGTCATGATAAAGCCATGTCTGAGGTCCCTTGGGAACACACCCTGAACAACCTTCTGCTGTCCTCCTGTTCCTTCTTCAGGGTGCCCCTCCTCAAATCACACCACTTCCTCACCCTCTCCACCCCTCCACCTCCAACCCCTATTCTTTCTCTAGCTAGTTGCTGCAGCATTCCTGTTTTTCCTCCTGAACACTCTACTAAGGTTCCAAGTAGGAAAGAATACAAAGTGTGAATTAGTGATAGTTTAATGTCCCTCTTGTTTTCAGAAAACCTCAAGAGTTTATCATTTCTACTTTAGTGCGCTTCCTAAATGGCGAACTATAGTTAAACAAAACAAAATTATATCCGTTATGTAGTAGGAAAAGGAAAAGTATATCAGGAAGTCAGGACACAGTCTGGTCGACCACCACATTTCTGGCATCGTACTTGCATTCACATAAATAAGTTAATGAATGAAACAAAGGTATTCAATGGAAAGAATGATAGGATAGATGAACACAATCTGCTGAAAAGCTTTCCTTGGGCTTTCCTTGGGCTCATTAAGAAATTAAGGAGGCTATTTTAGAGCATCATCCAAATAACAAAAGTTTCCAAATGCTTGATTTTTAAAATTTTGAAATAACCTTAAATATATTGTTCACTTTGTTAACATCACCAGTTAAATATACTAAAAATAAGGTAATGCTTTGGTGCCCAGGGTCGTGTCACGCCCAGGAATCATTACACAATGCTATAATAGCTCAGAGACTGAAAGTCTAGAGGATTTGTACCCTGACATTATGACCCTATTTGGCTACATTTGCTGATGTATTGGGCCTATATTTTGTCATTTTTTCCTACTCCTCTCTTACTGTTGCCAGCTGTTACTTTCTCCTGTCACCATCTATTCTCCGTACCCCATACCTCCTGTTGTCCCTGGCTAATTTCCAGCCTACCACTCTCCCATAGGCCAAATACACAAATATAGTTATTAAAATTACATCTATTAGTTGTGTATGTATAGTTGATAGAAATACTATGTATGAGTTTTCATATATGCATACTGTAAGGTTTGACACTTACAAATTCTTAGCTATATTGTGGGCAGATAAGTTTTCAGAGACAATATCTGCTAGATAATAAGACATACCTTAATGGAGTAGGTTCATTGAAGAAACACTAGCAGGACTGATAGAGTGCTGTTTTTTGCCTGATTACTTTATATTCTGTGACAAATATGTCACACTTAATGAATAAATGCGTGTCACATTTAAAAGCCTAGAATTCAATTCTATCTGCGCACATAGGAAACAAAGAGTCTTAAAGGTGTTGGTGAAATTATATTAAGTAAAACACTGACAAAATTGTACCTATAGACAAATAGCTCTCATATGGCTGATGGGGAGATTACAGGATACCCTGTAATGAACAATTAATGACTCCTTTCCCAGGGAGCTGAGAGTGAGAAAAACAGAGAATTTGCTTCTTATCCTTGAAATTTCCTGGCTGACTTTTATTTAAATGAATCTCTTTAGAGTAATTGTGATTTTAATTCTCTGTTCATGATGACCTAGAAAATGTCTGTGGTCCTAACCTCATTGTGTAGCCAAACTTTTCTTAATGTAGCACACCATGGTTGTTAGGTGACCTCTTCCGGTGACATCACACACGTACACATGCTCACACTCAGTGGAGGTTGTCATAGGGCAGAGATTGTAGAGAAGAGAAATCATGAGCTGACTTCCTGAGAATATTTGCGGTTTTCATGTGTTTTTTTCCTCTGGAAGGGAAGTTCTTTCTTTTTATTCCTTGTCAGTTCTATCTGCTTATCAGTCTGGAAACTTATATCAAATGTATCCCAAGAATTTAATCTGGGATATTCACTCACAAAATTGCTGAGCTTAATAAGGCATTTCTGTGTCAGAGAGCAGAGGTGAAAGACCACATTTAAACCAGCTTTACAAAGGAGAGAGCTCTAAATTCTTATTTTCTCCTGGGGATGATAAACGTATAGTATTCCACGTAAGCAGCCTAATCTCAGGTTGGCTCAGAAGTCAGTCATCTTCCTAAGAATTACTTCTGTAAGTAATTTTGTAAGAACTCAAACAGTAGAATATGATTTCTAATGAACTCCCTCTTTCTTTTTCTATTCTATGTATAAACTCGTCCTTGGTATTTTTTTCCTACTCTTTTTATTTTCTTCCTTTTGGATAGCTTTCTCCCCCATTTCTATTTTTTCCACATCTATATGTTTATACTTCATTTACCTTCCTTGTCTTCATACTAAAATATAAGCATATTTAAAATAAATATTTTATCTTTTGCCTAAGAGAATCCATAGATGGTTAGATGTCAAGAATTTTAGTTGCCCACCCTGCCTCTGGTACAATAATATAAAAAACCTAAAAATTTATATATTCAAATAGAATAGCTATAGTAAACCATTTCTAAACTATTAGAGCAATACACAAACACACACACACACACACACACACACACACACACACACACACACACACACAGGAGATTGGGCCCAAAATGAGATTTTTTTTTTTACTGTTTTATCTATGCAAGTATCAAAATCTCCCTTAAGCCAAGGCAATATCCATTTTGAAACTAATATTTACATATGGTCATTCACAGAAAATGAGACAGATAAATTATCTATAAAGATATTCCTCAATTATAACAAAACTTACATGTCGTCCTTCTCTGGGTTCTCATTCCCTCTCTTTTCTTAACATGGAAGTCCGCCATTAAGTTGTGGTGACATGACTACTCATCTCCTTCCTTCCTTTGTTGCTGGGTCCTTCACCTTCAGGTCTGCCTATGTTTTTTAGGCATAGCAGACTGCTTCTCTATAGCGATCCTGCCACTGTAAGTAATTATCTCAGGAGCAAGAACAACTGAAGGTTGAAAGCTCTATCTGATTCCATTCTTCAAATCTTTTAATTCCTTCAGAGGCATCTTTGCTAAAACCCATGGCTGCATTCCTTGCCCCAACATCAGTTTGGGTATCAAACTAATGTCTTTAATGCAATAGGATCTACCCACCAGTGGGCTAAAGTGCCCTTATTGTGAAAAAGAAACAATTAAATTACATTTTAACGCCAGATTTCTGTGGTGGATTCATTTCAGGATTCATGATCCTGAATGTGTTTCTGCAATTCATGATTTGTTTCCCAAAATAAGAACTAATTGTCAAGACCAAAGACCATAGCTCTGGTCATTATGAGTTCTCAGAGGAGAGAGATGAATACCAAGTAAAGGAGCTCAAAGACAGACACAACCATATTGTTTCCTGATGGACCACCAAAAGCTAAAAATACATATAATGTAAATATCTTTTCAAATAAAACCGTGCTTACTAATACGGATTTAACTATTGTCCGTGAATTTTACTGTATTTACTTTATTTAGCAGGAAAGAGTCTTGCTTTCACTGAGGATGAAATATAAATGATGATATTGATCATAACCATAACAATAACACCAACAGTAATATATGCTAACTTTGAACACTTTCCATCTACCAAGCACTACTTAAGCCCTTTATATCTATTAACTCATTTAATCCTTGCAAAGACCCTCTGAGAAAGGCACTATTATTATCTGCATTTTATGACAGTGAACATCATAGCAGTATTACACTAACATGAATGAATATCTAGATTAATGATAAGTGAAATTTTGATGAAGAATGAGGAAGTACATATATACTTGAGCAGAGATCAGGGTAAGAAAGAGTAAGAATTATATTCAAATAAGAAAGATGAATATAAACTGTGTAAGATCAGTCAACTCACTTTTCTTAGGATCAAATGTGCCTATAGTAGAAGGGAGCTGAATGATTAGGTCCTTGCTTGACAGACAAAGAGATGCATTACAAATACACTAAGAACTCCTAGGAAACAGACATAAGCTCTCAAAGCTCAAAGAAAGTAGAAATTGTAAATTCATTATTTTAAACCTATTCCTTTTTTTTAATAAAGATGTGGGGTACAATTCAGGGTTAGGTATACAAACACTGATTATGCAGATACCCTTGTTGATAAGGTGTGCCTCTCCCTCCCTTAGCGGTTTCCCTCAACTGCCAATCCCACCCTCCTCCCCTGACAGTTTCTCATTACTGCCAAATGCTTTCTTATAATATTATAATTATTCAAGGTCCGCTTATGAGTGAGAACATATGGTACTCTTCTTTATTTCTGGGATAGATCACTGAGTATGACTGACTCCAAATCCATCCAAGTGGCTGCGAAGTCCATATATTTGTCCTTCTTTATGGCTGCATAATATTCCACTGTGTATATGTACCACATTTTCTTTATCCAGTCCAACTTCATTGGGCAACATGGTTGGTTCCATGTTTTTGCTATTGTAAATAGAGCTGCAACAAATATACGTGTGCAGGTATCTTTTTTGTAGAGTGATTTGAGTTCCTCTGGGTATATTCCCAATAGGGGAATTGCTGGGTCATATGGAAGGTCAATTTCTAGTTCTTTCAGAAATTGCCACACTGTCTTCCAAAGAGGTTGCACTAATTTGTATTCCCACTACCAGTGCAGAAGCATTCCTTTTTCTCCACATCCTCACCAGCATCTGTTGTTGTTTTATTAATGATGGCCATTCTTACTGGGGTTAGGTGGTACCTCAGTGTTTAAACCTACTCTTAATACAGGGGTAAGGATAATGTAGTGGAATCCACCACTGCCAATTTATCTTTATTTGAGAGAAAAAAAAAAAGCCTTGGGGTCAGTACATACACACTTGTTCAGATATATTTATGAAAAACCACAGTGTATCCTTCCCAGTCACTATTCCCCATTTTGGAATCATAGCTTTTATTTCCTAGTTTGATGAATTTTATTTGTGATTGCAAAACTAAAAATAAAATAAATGCACATGAAACTTGTAAATGCTGAGTTTCCTGTCTGCATATACAAGTGAGAAGTGAAGGTGATATTTATTTTGATCAAAGTAAGAAAACCAAACACGTGGCCATCTGATGTTTTGACAATTATTGTCTGCTTAGGATCATTTATTGTGGTCCAAAGTTGTGATTCCTGGACTTGTTTTCAGATAATTATGTCTGTCCTCATACATCAGCCAGAATGCCAGAGACCCACAAGGAGAAAACCTTAGTAATCCACCTTATCTTTTAAGCAGAAATCCTTAGCAAAAGATGTTAGATTAATTATTGGGAAACAGTGGTCCATGCAGCCACATTTTCCATCTGTTTAACTTAATTAAGTAGTTAATACTTATTGTAGACAGAATTACTTGACCTTCTTAGTTGAAATTTCTTTCAACTTTTTGAATCAAAATTTTGGATCAAATTTGGATTAAAAATCTTATTGTCTATATGAATTTGAGTAATCAATAAAAGGAAGTAATTTCAGTTATTCAAAGAAAAAAGTTTTGTCAATTAAGAGCTAAATAAATTTGAACATGAAAATGTAGCTTAAAATACAAACTTGAGAAGCCCTATTTACTCTGTCTTCAGAACTTAAGCAGGGTAAAAAGATATATTTCAAATGCCACTGGAATCGCTTCTATGTAATCAAAAGTTTACTCAAGTTGTTTGGTATCTTTAACTCATCATTCCTTTAAAATTTCAATTTTACTTTATGTTAATTTTTTAAAAATTTTAAATATACTAAAGACACGAGTCTTAAGGTGTTTCATTAGTTTTGTTGTTATAGGAAATGGGTAAATCTTTAGAGAGGAACTAGAGTGTTGATGAGGATGTTACTGATGAGTTGCTCTTTGTTTAAATCAGTTAAGCACTGAGAGATATCCTGAGAATGATGTTTGGGCAACTGAGTCAGATCCACACGAAAATATGAAATGATTAAATGAAAACACAATCAGCAGTGGCCTGGGAGCATTGCCTGGTGAGAGATAATACTGCAGCTCTCTAATTGGCTCGCAGCAAGCATGCAGGATGACGGATTTCAGTTGTGGTATTGCCAGTCCTTCTTCCCCCAGCACTATTATCTCAGAGTGACACTTCCATTACTCTGAGCGGAGAAAGATGAACGTCACCTGTCAGGGGCTGGTTAATTGTGTTGCTAGATGTATGTTGCCAGGGCGCAGGTTGGACATTTATGAACATAACTGCTTCCTCTGATGTCCGCCATCCTTCAGGGATCGATATGGCTCTTACAGTAAGCGCGTAATTGAGTGAAGGCACTTTGCACTGAGGGGCTGAAGATGAGCCCATTGTGTGAGCTTCATTGTCCATACATTTACCATAAATGAGCTGATATTTGCCATTTATTGTGTGCAGCATTGTGGAAATGGAAACTAATGTGCCACTCTCATTTGTTTTCTAGATAAATGGAGAAGATGTCCAGAATCGAGAAGAAGCAGTGGCCTTGCTGTCTAGTGATGAGTGCAAGAGAATCGTGCTGCTTGTCGCAAGGCCAGAGATTCAGGTCAGAACAGAAATCAGAAGTCTTGAGATTGAACTTTATAGTCATTGAATTCACTGAGAGTAAATTCAAAAATGAACTTTTTATAGCTATTATGTGTTATTTCATAGCCAATCACTATCACCATGGCTATCTCCAAAACTAAGAACAATATGCAGAATACAATGAAGTGATCTTGCCTAACTTACCAACCTTACTTTAATAATTATACATTAAATACTTCCTTATATTGCACCACAGAATGGCAGCTAAAACTCCTACTTAAAGAGGGGGAAGCACACAAAATTGAATCACTATTTTCTCTTTCAAATTTGCAGTTATTTCAGTAAATTAACAAATGAAAAATGACCGAATTTACATGATTTTTAATTCTGTGTGGATCCTTGCTTTAAGTTTCCATCTAAACATACCTCATTGGTATCTTGGAAGAGTCTCTATGAGAGAGAAGTATTAGCCTATTTAGCTAACAACTTAAATATTTTTTGGAATATCTTAATCAATTAAAATGCCTTATGTCGTATGGTGGGTTCCATGTACAGTAAATGAATTTTTTTCTAAGATTATAGTGTGACAAAAACATTTGTCCAACCAAAAACAAACGGTTAGCTTCTGAAGGAATTTGTTATACCTTTACAGAGGAAGATGTCATGAAAGTAAAGGAAAGGTAATAGTGGAAGAAAAGTACTATTGGTACCTTCTTTTATATACTTTTTATATCCCACAATGCAGAAATGACAGTACATTGTCACCATTCTATCCATCTGTCAGTAGTTTGAGTAAAGTTAGTTATATCACCATTTGTCTCCCAGGTTATTGATCTGATATTTTTCGGACCCAGTAACTACATGCTAGCTATAAATTACATTGAGAAGTGTATTTCAGTGTCAGACCGAATCCTGACTTGAATATAGTGGTTATAAAAGATCACCCTTTCCGCATATATTTCCTTTATGCCCTTGACCATTCTAAATGGTTCCCATAAAGTCTGCTATAGCCCAGGGCAAAGTAAAGTTGCACACCTGAGGTCTTAGAAGTGAGGAAACAAGCCCACACAACTGGCTGTGCTGCTTAGTGGGAGTAAATTTTTTAAATACATACAAAATTGCACCAATTATTTGAAAATTTCTCGAACCAGGTATCTTACTAATCCATTTTCTTGAAAGAGGCATAATAAAAGAACTAAATGCTTATAAGTAAAATTTATGGTAAATTGAAGAAAACTCAGTAGCCATCCCTGTTATTGAAAAGATATTTTTATGTTATAGTGTGGTTTTCCTGCCCTTTCCATGTAACTGCTTGAGAACCTCATTAATTTAGAACTAAAGCATTTCCTTAAACTATGCCACATAATGGCCATAATGGGCTGTGGAAAGAATGGAAATTAATGACACAAGACCAGATTCTGTTATCTTTGATGGAATACATATGCTTGGTAGAACTCGTGGCAATTTTGAATATCTAGCTACACTCTTGACCTTTTCCTCTGAAAGAGTCAATGTGGAAGGATAAATTTTCAAATGAGACTCCCTTTCCACAGTTGATAAAAGATGATCATCTGACTCCATAGTATGCTATCCTGCCTGTCAAAATCAGAATCTGCATTAGCCCTTGATCCTGAAGAAGCCTTATGCCACTGGAAGGAAGCTAATTGCCTATACAAAATCAGATTTCCAGAGAAGTCAGGAAAAAAAATGTATCTTAACACCATACTTAAAAAATGTAATTTAAGCAGAACATGCTATAAAGTGGCAAAAAAGACTAAAAAATTTTCATATCTTTATTTTGCCCATATTTTTCCATAAAATTCTATATATCTCATTGCATTTTTTTGCATGTGAATTTTATTCAGGGAGAATGTGAAAGCATTTTGTGTGCTTTTTCTAGCTTTTTAAAAAATATTTCAGATACTCTCTAGATTCTTAGACATGATCTACAAAGTTGCTGGAGGCAATATTGTGCATCTGTGCAATATTTTTAAATAACTCATTTCTTTCATTCCCTGTCAACTCTCTTTCATTTTCTGCCCATTTTCTTCCTGAGACCATTAAAGATATTGCTTTTCCGTCCTATTTCCCTCAGGACATTGGGGCAGAGAGGGCTCTCATAAGAACTTGCAGCTACTACTTTTGAAACAGCATATGTTGTTCCTTTCTCTGAGATGCCACGTGTGGTCCCCTTTGGTACAGACCGATCCCTGCTGTATAATAATGACAATCATTTTCCTGCAGCTCAGCTCAAGAAGGATGTCTGTCTCTGCCATAGCATTAGACTCAGACTATCGTGAATGCATGTCTGGGTGGAAACGGGAAATACAAGAGAGAAAGAAAGTGAGCAAGAAGAATCTCCCTTTACTTAGTGTGCTCTGTGTACCTCCAGCCTAGAAGAAAACTTTCTCAATATAGACATCTTCTGGCCAGGTGTGATGGCTCATGCCTGTAATCCTAGCACTTTGGTAGGCCGAAGCAGGAGGATTGCTTGAGCCCAGGAGTTCAAGACCAGCGTAGGCAATATAGTGAGACCTCATCTTTACCAAAAAAGCAAAAAATTAGCCAGGTATGATGGCTCATGCCTATAGTCCCAGCTTCTGAGAGGCTGAAGCATAAGGATGGCCTGGGCCCAGGAGGTCAAGGCTGCAGTGAGCCATGATTATGCCACTGCACTTCAGACTGGGTGACAGTGATAGCCTTACTTTAACAAAAAAAAAAAAAAACAAAGACATATACTGACTACAGATGGCAATATGGGAATCTGTGGGGTTAGACAATAAGAGAAGCGTTACAGGGAATCATTAATTTCTATCATTTGTTCTCCTTATTTTACCTGTCACTTCATTTAAATCTCAAAGATTCTGTTTCATCATTCACTATATCAGTGTTAGAAAATATTTTGTTTCGATCTGCTTAAAGAAAAATTCCTGGTATGTTTATAAAAACTAAACATTCCTAGCTGTAAGTAATTTCTTTTGGGGTCTGGCATTTGCAGCTTATGACACTTGAAAGGAATTAAAGAATGCAAAACTTAGACAATTATAAATTGAACTGAATTTACAATTTTAGTCAGCATAATTATCATAGCTCATCTGCATATCAAAGTCAGTGGGATGGAATTTGGTCAAGTTATTCAGGCCACATTAACATAAATGAGGATGAATAAATGTGTCCATACTTTTGGCCCCAGTTAAATTTGGGGTCATTTAATTTCTACATGGCCTTTAATAGATATCATGAAATCTATTATTCGCCTTCATATTAGTGCATTTGATGCAACACATGCCTCTTTTGATGCAGTTTAATGTTCGTTCAGGTTTGGTTTTGATTTTAAGTTTTAGAAGTTCGGTTATCTTTAAAAGCTTATTTTGCAAGTTTGTAGGTGAAAACGCCTCAAACTATTGTCCATTTTTGCTCGATGGAAAGCTGCTGTTTCTTTGTAGCACAGAGGAAAGCAGAGCTTTGACAATAATTCAGTTAATTTAATCAGCATAGACAGCTAATTTATGTAATCCAGCTCCAAAAATCCACTTTGAGGCAAATTATCTGTACTGATTGTCAACACTGATCATATTAGCCAGGTAGCCACCAGTTTTCCACTTCACTTTGTGTTGAAAAGCCAAAGGGATTTATTCAGTTTAATTTGTGTAAGAGTCCCACATGAATACTTGCATTCAACACCCACAAACAAAACCCTGTAAATTCTACCCCACTCCACCAACCTTAAATGCCACATTCGTTGTGATATTTTTCCTTGCAACTGGTCCTGAAAAATGAATCAAAATACACATTGCTCTTTTTTTCTTGAGAAGAATAACTTAGAATTTTCCTTTTTTTAACAAATAAAATAAATGTTGCGTGTAGGTTTTTTGTGACAAGCAGCCATCTTGTTAACATGGGAGCGGTCCGCCTAAAAATAAAAAAAACAGGATGAGGCTAGCATGAGCGTGTGGGAGGCACTTTGTGTATAGTCTCATTGGGGGCTGTTGTTAAGGAAAAAAGCCCAATTGTCTCATAGCCCTATTAGTACCATGGCAGGCCTTTTAACATGGGGACTATTGGAGGTAATGAGCATGACAGCTGTGGATTATGCAGTATGCTTTTCATACATTTTGAAAGAAGGTAATGTTCTATACTGTGAGATTTACTCGGTTATGAGGGAAAATCTGTAGCTCTGTTTCAGGAAAGGATAAAAGGCATAAGAGTCCAATTTTTTATCACCTTTTTTTCTTTCTGAGAGGTGAACTATAGGAGGCTGATATTCTGAAGAGAATCATTATGATAAAAGGAACTGGTCAGGCATCAGCCATTTAAGTTTACCCTATTTTAGCATGAGTTCTTGCTAACATAATATAATGTACTAATGTATTCTTTTGCAGCTGGATGAAGGCTGGCTGGAAGATGAAAGGAATGAATTCTTAGAGGAGTTAAACTTGGAGATGTTGGAAGAACAGCATAATGAAGCCATGCAGCACACTGCCAATGAGGTGGAGCAGGTAGGGCCAACAATTTGAACTACATCATTTGGAATATTGCTACTTCTTCTTTTAATGTATAACCACAAATAGAGGGAAACAACAAAATCAAAGGGGCTTGATCAAACATCTTTGTTGTGATAATTTTTTAGAGCAAATAATCGCCTCAAAGGAAACAGAGGGAACAAATACATGTTTTAAAATTAAGAATATCTCCAGTTTAGGAAGCTTAGGAAACATTTTAATAGAATGCAGTAGTATTCAAATGTTGACCCAAGTACTGTTTCAAGCTAATTGCAGAAATTTAATAGTGAAAACATGTGTTGCTTCTCAATATGCAAGCTGAAAACAAACTATATTATTATGAGGTACCCCACAAAAAGTCTTTTTTTTACTTTTAAATATTAAAATTTATTGAATCTATTTGAATATTTAGGCTATAATTATAGATTGAGGATGACATGATGGAAGCCATCAATCTTATTTGTATACTGGATGGCAAGATTACACCTGTGTAGCCCTAAGTAATGTAGAGTTTATCCTTGGTTCTATGGCTGCTGCTTTTGACACATTGTGCTACATTTCCCATAGCATAATTTGAGATTATTGGCATCCTTTTGCCTTAAGGTCACATTTTCATCCAACAAAAATCTTTGAGTTACTAATAAGTTCCAAGCAACACACTTGATACTGAGAATACAAAAAAAATGAGCAGAGTTGCTGCCGTTAATTGGTTCTTAACTAGTAAAAGATCACATGTGGCTTATGGCAAAAGTGAGTCATAAGTATTTTTGGTTTTGGTTGTTGTTGCTTATCCATTGGATAAAAACAAGATAAACACATTCTAGATTTTTATGTCATGTTCATATCACTTATCTTCCTGATATAATTTTGTTAACAGTTTACTGATTTAATTATTATCCTATTCTCAACATTCATTCTTAACACATCCTAAAAGACAACTACTTTTACAAAATCTTGACAGGCTTAGAAACAGGCAGCACAAACTTTCTATCACTTTACCAAACTGAGTAATGAAATATGTCAACATGCTAACGTCCCATAAGAGAAATGTATGCGTGTCTGTACATGTCTCGTACATATTAAATAAAAAATCATTAGATTGCAAACTACCATAACCATGTTTCATATTCTCATGTGCTGATCATGGATGTTCATTGGCCACTTCACAAATAGTAGTTCATGCTCAAAATTATGGTAACTGATTTTCAATATAGGTAGGAAAGATTGAAATTTTTGCGTATAACTTCAACACTGGCCACAAATAAAGATATTTTTTGGTGGCAGCTGCTGGTTACACGCAAGAAAGTCCTTGCTCCAGGCTTTTTCTCTCCTGGATACAAAATGTGACCTGATACCGAATTGACAGGAGGATGTTGAAATAAAGAAAGAGGGGAGAAATCCTGTCCAGGTGAAATGATATGGTGTCAAATGCTGCCTACTCATCAGACGTAATACAAATGTTAGGTCTTTTGAGGTAACATTAGATGTCCCTGAGGTTAGATTCTCATTGTGTGGAAATTTTTCTTCACCATGAGGCTGAAAAATGATGAGAAGTACAGAACCTTTAAAAGTCCTTTGCCCTTATAAACAATAATACTACATTAGAAATGTCTAGGTAGAAACATTGCCTGTCACTATAATAATTCCATAGGGAAATGATAAATGATAGAGTAGTATTACATTAGAAATTGGGAATTCTAGGTTTGAAAATGGAAAACTCTTTTTATGGTCACAGTTGCTCATAGATCAGTAACAAAAGAAAGATAAATTTAATTTAAAAAATAAAATACATATCCATATGTAAACTCACTTTTTGGGCCGTTACTTTACATGCTCTCCTTAGCCCTATGGCTGCTGTTACATTGTGCAACACTGTCATGGCATAATCTATCTGTATTATTTGAATTGTGTATACAATTTGTAAAAATACTAGTTTTCCTGTATTATTCAATTCATTATGAGATGTTAGAAAAATATAAATATAAGTAATGTGATATATAAACTCAAATGCCTAGTATCAATAACACCTTTTGAGGACTTTGTGGCATAGTATGTAGAAGTCACCTCATTCGATACTACTGTTAGCTTATTGTCGGAGACATAGGGATGGAACAAGCTTTCCATTATTAGATGCAAAACTTAAATGTTCAGGGTTCACTTATAAGTGAGAATATGTGGTGTTCTGCTCTTTGTTTCTATGATAGATCACTTCGTATGATCAATCAATCAATCCAAGTTACTGCGAACATTAACATAATACTATAAGAAAGGGATTGGCAGTAGTGGGATTCAGCTGGGCGGGAGGCAGGACACAACATCAATAAGGGTACCTGATCTCAAACTAGTCAAAGTGGGGACCAAAGGGAGGCCCAAACTTCACCTGCACAATGACCACTTATATATCTAATTCTGAATTGTACCTCACATCTTTAAAAGAAAAAAAATTATTATAATTGTTTTATCAACAAGACTTTTAAGCTCCATCTTAGTTTGTTTTCTACAAGTGAAATAAAATATTCTAGGTAAAGATTGTGAATCCTAAAATAACATAATAGTTATGTTCTCTCCTCTTCAATTTATATTATTTTGTTCTACCATTACTTTTGTGGAACAAAATAACAATTATCTAGAGAGACCCATTTAGACTTGTTTTAGAATATTTTTAATTACCCATTTCTTCTTTAGCACTAATAGGCTAAATTATATTTAATTATATAATTACACCTCCTAGAGGGAAATGTATATATAAAACAGTGAGTAAACTTAGACATAAGGCAAATACAATCTAGAAACTGCCATATATTTTATTTCACGAAGAGTAATAGATGAGAAAGTAAATTTACCTATTCAGAGATAAAGAACTACAAATGCATTTCATTAGGACAGTGGCAGTTCATTGTTTTGTATCAAAGACAAAAATTACCAGGGGGTGAAACATCTATCCACCCACACATGTATATGTACACACATACACATATGTACATACATATGACGTATTTATAATACATATGTCAAAAGTTTTTTTTGATATTATGCCCATGTCTGGCAATCAGTGCTATTCAGATTTTCATGAATACTGTCATTTTTACTCTCAGTAGGTCAAAACTCATCTTTGAAGAAATTTCTGGTTAAAAGTAGAAAAATCTTGTACAACCCAAATGAGTCCTAAGACATTGCTATTGCCTTTGGGAAACATGATTTGGAGATGCACTAATGTCAGAGCACATGCATTCAGGAACATGGCATCCTGGACATGCAAGAAATTCTGGGACTGGCAGGTGGAGCTTTGCCTTCTAGACCTCTCTATCACTACCTGACTCCCTCTGTGATTACACTTCCTCATTTATAGATAAGAAGGTCCTAGGCTTTGGTGCATAATGTTTACTAAGTCCTGGAACTTTGTAACATTTGGCTTATTTTTACATATTACTAAGTCAATGAAGTATCCTCTGAACTTGAGAAAAATTCAGGAAATTGAAAAAAAAAAAGATAACTTTGGTTTCTGAACTCCAGGCCTCCAGATTGCTAAAGACCATTTAGGCATTCTATCTTACCCTTTTGTGCATTATCACTTCAAAGATTCATAAAGTCACTTCATTTGCTAACCTTCACCCCAGAGTTTCCCAAGTAAGAGAAAACCTAAGATGAAAATCACTTAAGTGTGTTCTGTCTTTATTTAAACCCACATGAACATCATAGCCACATCCAAACAGCTTTCGTTTTCTTTATTTCATTGCATAAAAAGTGGCCATGAGCTAATTGCCTTTATTTATAAAACCATGATGGACACTGAAATTAGAGCAGCTCTCTAGGAACTGCAATGTCACCAAGAAGCATTGTTTTTTAAGCAAGTCTTGCAGCAATCAGTGTTCTTCAAAATAACTAATTTTCTTTGTTCTCTTAACGTTATTTTCTTAGCCAAAAAAGCAAGAAGAAGAAGAAGGCACAACGGACACTGCAACATCCTCATCTAACAACCACGAGAAAGACAGTGGAGTGGGGCGCACAGATGAAAGCTTGCGAAATGATGAGAGCTCAGAGCAGGAGAATGCAGCAGAGGACCCCAACAGCACATCTTTGAAGAGCAAGAGAGAGCTGGGACAGAGCCAAGACACTCTAGGAAGCGTTGAGCTCCAGTTCAATGAGAGCTTCGTGTCTGGAGAATACATTGACTCAGACTGCACTGGCAACCAAGATGAGGAGTGTGAACGATTCCGGCAGCTCTTGGAGCTCAAATGCAAGATTCGAAACCATGGAGAGTATGACCTGTATTACTCGAGCAGCACAATCGGGTGCAATCAAGGAGAGCAGGAGGGAGTGGAACATGAGCTACAGCTGCTTAACGAAGAGCTGCGAAACATCGAGCTCGAGTGCCAGAATATCATGCAGGCTCACAGGCTCCAGAAAGTGTCAGATCAGTATGGAGACATCTGGGCATTGCATGACGGAGGCTTCCGGAATTATAGCACCAGTGTGGATATGCAAAGGGGAAAACTAGATGACATCATGGAACATCCAGAAAAGTCCGACAAGGACAGTTCTAGTGCTTACAACACGGCTGAGAGCTGCAGAAGTACTCCACTCACTGTAGACCGCTCTCCCGACAGCTCCCTGCCAAGAGTGATCAACCTCACCAATAAGAAAAACCTGAGAAGCACAATGGCAGCCAATCAGTCCTCCTCTGGACAGAGCAGTAAAGAGTCAACCTCCACCAAAGCCAAAACCACTGAACAAGGTTGCAGCCTTGAAAACAAGGAGAAGATTCTAGAAAGCAGCAAGCTTCCCGGTTCAGAGAAGACAGTCAGTGAACACATCCCTTACCTCTCTCCTTACCACAGCTCTTCCTATAGATATGCAAACATCCCAGCACACGCCCGGCACTATCAAAGCTACATGCAGTTGATTCAACAGAAATCTGCAGTTGAGTATGCTCAGAGTCAGCTCAGTTTGGTGAGCATGTGCAAGGAGTCTCAGAAGTGTTCAGAGCCCAAGATGGAATGGAAGGTGAAAATCAGGAGCGATGGGACACGGTACATCACAAAGCGACCAGTGCGAGACCGAATTCTGAAGGAGCGTGCCTTAAAGATCAAGGAGGAGCGGAGTGGCATGACCACAGACGATGACACCATGAGCGAGATGAAGATGGGGCGCTACTGGAGCAAAGAGGAGAGAAAGCAACACCTGGTTCGAGCCAAAGAGCAGCGTCGGCGTCGGGAGTTCATGATGCGGAGCCGGTTGGAGTGTCTCAAGGAGAGCCCGCAGAGCGGCAGCGAGGGCAAGAAGGAGATCAACATCATTGAACTGAGTCACAAAAAGATGATGAAAAAGAGAAACAAGAAAATTTTGGACAACTGGATGACAATCCAAGAACTGATGACCCACGGGGCCAAGTCTCCTGATGGCACGAGAGTCCATAATGCCTTCTTGTCAGTCACTACCGTATGACCGAGTGAATGGAGTACGACTGATTTCAAGAGGTTGCTACCAGTTTCGGTAGAGTATGATTGCCTCGTTCAATGTGGCGTTTTTATATATATTTTGTGACTCTTTATAGTTTAAATTTTTTGTAAGCAAAAATACCTGGTAATTTTTCATTTGTTTTTCATATACTGGTACCTTCTTTTTGGCTGAGATCTTTCTTTAACTTGTGATATATTCAGATTACTCATTTATATATAAAACAAAGGAAAGAAAACAAAAAAAAACTTGCACAAAAATACTGAGGAGCCAATTAATTTGCTACTTTAATGTATCTATTGTAAGTTAAAATCTGTTTATTTCTCTAGTTTACTTCTTTTCTACTTTAATAACAACTCAATGCCAAAACATTTCTATGCTTGCTTCTTGGCATAATACATTTTAAATCAAACATGTTAATAACAAATCACATGCCACATCTTGTCTTACACATAAAATCCACCTCTTTTAACATCCTGTTGTACATTTAACACATAAGTGGCCGTTGTCTTTGTCTCAGTAAAGTGTAGGTGGACAATCTTCCTGTGATATGTAGTGACATTGGTCATGTAGCTAGATATTTGTGGTAATTGTGACAATAAAAGAGAAATAAATTATTGATTATCCTTAAGAAAAGTTATCAAGGAGTGTTTTATTTTCATTGTTCACTGTGGTTAATAAATATAAATTAGTTATCTATGTATACTGTTTAGAAGACTCCTTATTGTGAATTACAGTGTGCACATTTTCTACCACTTTTTTTCCAATAAAGTTGTCTTGAAATGCTTCCTATATATCATTGTGTCCCATATTCCTACCAGAATTAATTTAGATAATATATGTACAGCACTTATCAGATGCTAACTCAGCATTTAATAAACATTAGTTTCTACTCTCCTTGCTTGCTGCCCATGTAAAGCTGAGAAAAATTTAGAATCAGCTATGAAGAAAGAGGATCAGTGAAGCATCCAAGATTGTTTATAATTATAATTTAAAATTCTGCAATGTAAGTTAGTCTGCTCTGGCCACCATAACAAAATATCATAGACTTGACTGAAACAACAGGAATTTCATCACCGTTCTGGAGCCTGAAAGGTTCAAGATCAAATAAGTTAAGGGTTAGGGTTTCACCGTATGAATTTTGTAAGGACACATTTCAGTCCATAGAACAATGTACATTTATTTAGTTGAACATTTGGGAATAAATTTGGGAAACCATCTTTGCAATAATTTCAGCATAGTCCATTAAAATGCCTACTATGTCAGTTTGTTAAAAAATGAGATTGTTAGATGACTAGACAGATTTTTCAAATCTAGCTTTTCGTCATATCTACATATGAACCATATTGTATGCCAATCATAATGCTTCCAGAGTGAAAGGCCAGATCAAACCATGTGCAGGCAAACATGAGTTTGATCAAATTTTCATTCAGCCCAGCAGATTGTTTTAACATAATGGACACACAACATCTGCATATTTCTGAAGCTACTTTCCTGTTTAAAAACCTGCTTCCCTACTGGCATTTGAATCAGACTCCTTTGCCTCCGCCTCTAGTCAAGGCTCTTCATTAAACTGGAGGCCTTGCCTATTGCTCCTCCTCTTTAGACATTCTCTAAATTATTCCTGGCTCCTTAACAGGCTAATAATTTCCATTTAAGTTTTTCCATGCTATTGTCCTGTCTGGGTTTTCTGTGACAAATCTTATACTTCCCTTGGAGTGTGATCACATACATATTTTCTCTTTGGAGTCTGTCTAGAAGACATCAGACTTTCTCAGCTCTTTGGCATACACTACTATGCAAGTTGTTTTATTTTTGCCTTGGATATTTATTCTTTTGTTATTGAATCACACACATAAAACTTATTGTCTCCTTGCATAGATAATTTTATGTCCCCCACCCCCTTCATATCCCTCTCTGTCTTTAGAAGCCTTTGGTGGAATGCCATTTGAATGATAATGAATGCTAGTTGAGCTAAGTCATTTTATCCATTTATCTCTCTCCTCCACATATTGGCCCTTTTGTTAGTTTTCCTTATTCTTCCACCCTTTCAAGTTCTTACCTTTTGAAGGGCTATCACACAGATGAAAAGAAACTCATCTTATTTACATATAATGAAAGCTGGACTCAAAAACTTTAAGATAGTGATAGTAAAAGCAAGCTAAGGCAACTGAATTCTAATTTTGGCCCTTAGTAATACAGTGAATAAGACTACTCTGAGTGTACCTAGAGTTAACTTTTGATCTTATTCTTTTACATAAGAATGCCTATCTATTTTTAGAGCTCAGTTCTTTCCAGACCTAATAATACTGGTGGTTATTGTTTCTCCTCTTGACACAACTAGGTTTAAATATTCATAGGTATTGAATTACTCCTTTAGATACTCGTCATTTGGAACCAACAAGTATATTTTTCCAGAAAGAAAAAAAGACATGTACACATCTTACAGAATGCAAGGTTTCCAAAGCTACCAGTTTAATTTTATTTTATGAAAACCAAGTGTGCTTGCAAGTTTTTTAAAAATGTGATGTTGGTGTTTTCCATGTCTGTATTTATACAGTTCTACAAGTTGAGAAATGTCTCTTTTTCAAAAGTCGGTGGAAATCTAAAAAGTGTGATGCTTTATCTTTCTACATAACATATCTTTGTGCTAAACATTTTTTTTTTTAGTAAATGAATAATAAATCTGTTGCTCAGCAAAGAAAAACAATTGGTTATATGTGGGATATTTTATTTCAGTTCAAAGATACGTAACTGTAAAAAGGAAAATTATTTTACTTGGGCTTATATGAAATTACATATTTATTATTGCTCTTTATCTTCAAGATGTTACAGAAACTGGTGTTAGGGTCTGATGAAGGCAAATAGCAACAGGTTAACAAGACACCTAAAATGGTGCTATGAGGCCATTTCAGCCTGAACCTCAGACACGCCTTAAGTGGAGAATACTCTATCCCTTGAAGTCACAACTCTTTGAACAATGCCAAGACTTCTGCTGACTGCTTCCTGCTGAACTGGGTGGCCCCTAACCACAGGCACTCTTTTAACTATTACAATCTATCCCATGACTCCAAGATTATTTTAGATAGGATCACACCAACCATAATAGTTGAAAAACAACTTTTGTAACTGCCCCACTCCCCTGATTCGTCCTTTATCCGTTAAAGCTCCAGACATTTTTCTCAAGGTAACTTGGAAGTACTTCCCAGCTGCAGTCACTCAAATTTATCTCAAATAAAGTCTTTGTTGTTTAAGTGATGTCCCAGTTTTTTCCAGATCCACAGATCAATATATGAATGACATAAGAAAGTGGAAAACAATGTATGTTAAATGTGTATTTATTCACTGCATGCCATTGAAGAAGGCTGTTCTTGCCATTCTATGTTGGGCAGACTGTCCCTTTATGAACACATATTGTGGGTTGAGGGGAAGACTCCTCTCAAACAGCCTTTCCACAGCTACACACTGATTTTGTCCATGTCCTATGGGTGTGTCTGAATCTGCCACCTAAACTCAATCTGTCTATCCCTCTAATGAGCTTCTACTTTCTGCTTCAAATTCCTCATTTTGTGATGGCATCATGGTTTACTTGGTCCCTCATCCTTATCACCTGAGCCTTCTTGAACTTCTCTTTTAGCTGGTCAGTTACAAGCAATGCAGGGTTAGTTTTTCTTAAAAATGTGTCAGATTGTTTCGAATACTATGAAGTCACCTGTAAGCTAGGCTGTCACTGTCTCATGGCTAATTACTTCAACAGGCCCATACCTGATCTCCCTGTGCCCCCTTTCCAGTCTTTTCTACACAGGGTTGCAACACTAGCCCTCCTATTGTGGGTACCTTCAGGGGTCTTCTCCTGACCATGGGATAAAACCTAAGTGCCTGAGACTGTCATTCAAGGATTTCCATTATTTAACTCCAAACTACTTTTCCATCTACTTGATCTCACGTTTCTCCCCTCAAGGACTTACAAACCGTGCTTTGGGTAGAAGAATAATTTGGTGCTCCTTTGAACTAATATTCTTTAAATTTTAATGAAAAGTTAATTAAGTTTCATGTCTATTAATTTATTATTTTCTATTATTAACTAATGTCCATTACTTTCTTGTTTCTATTCATAATCATTATTATATAGTTATTAAATAACTGTATTAATTTTCAGTTCCTAAAGTTGAATAATGCAATAGCTTCATCCACTTATTCACTTCTTCTAAAAAGAAAAAAAGTATTTAAAAAACTTCTCCCAACAAATTATTGCCCACTTAACTGAAGTTTTTGTCTTCTCTTTGGTTATCTTTTGTTATTTTCCAAATGTATGTCTTTGGAGGTAGTCCAAAGTCTAATATTCTTTAAAAGACTTAAAATGGAGATAAAACAGACCTTTTATTCCTGAAAATATACATAATATGGTTTTAGAATTTCAGTGAACAATAACTACAGGTAGCTATTGACAAAAATAACTGACCAAGATAGGTGACCTATTGAGGAACGCCTTGAGGTTTTTTTAGTAAAACCTGAAGAAAAACTGGAGTATTACTTGACTGTTTTGGGTTTTGTTTTTGTTTTTTCCTATTTCCACTCAAGTGGTGCTGCTGTTTTCATCCAGAGCGGGACCAGTTTACACTGTAATCGTTTTATAAAAAGTTGCCATATAGAATTGAGTAAATATGCTCTGTGTTGCTGATTATTTTAGGAATGTTACTGTGCTATGTCAGTGTCCCACTGTGCCTCTGCTTCAGTGAGACAGGACTCCCTACAGTTTTTCAAACATGCCATTCTCATTTCCGGCACCACTGTCGGCTCCTGGTGTTTCCCATACTAGTGACACCCTCATGCTTTCCCTGTGTCCATCTCTCCTTCGATGTTTGTTTCATGCCTTCTCATCCTTCCAAGTGATTGTCCCTACCTTTACTAATAGCCACTCTTATTTCTGAACACTCATAATGGCATTTTCTTATCACTGTCTTGGCTTTCCACCCAGTAGTAGTCTAATATAATTTTTCTGCAATGCCTCTATCATGAGTATAGTAGGCTGCACAGTAGTAACCACGGCTACATCTGTCCTGGCATTTCTTCAATTTTACCAAAGAACAGCTCCTCAGGATATTTGGGGTGCTGTGCATTTTTCACATACCCTAACCAACAGGGCTATCTTCCAACAAACATTGCTCCTAGGTTTACAGACCATCTGTAAAACAGAGGCCTGCTTGTTATTCAGTATCCTTCTACATGCTTTTAACTTATTCATAGCCACTATTTAGTTATCATTTCCCAGCTCTATCACTAGATTTGCACTCTTATGCAAGTTACTTAAGCTTGCTACTTATCAGTACAGTGGAGACCATTACAGTCTTTTCCATAGTTTGAGAATTAAATGAGCTAACACTTACAAAGAAGCAAGATATGCCTTGGCATAGGGTGGACACTCAATAGATATTAGTTATTGTTTTTTATTACAGATGAGCAAATTGTCGCTAATGTAATTTTAGTAATCTACCACAAATTCATTCCATAACCACTAAGCAATGGATTCTGGATTCAAACTAACAACAATGGTCTGACTTCAAATTTTATTTTCTTTCCCCTACTCAGTGCCTTCACATTAAGAATGGGTATCAGTGACTTGGTTAGGTTTAGCC